AGTAAAAAAGGAAGTTATGTGATATTAAGGGTCATTTATATGATATTATGAAGGTAATAAATATAATTATAGGGTTATAAACGAAGTTATATATTCGACTCTTTAAACGAAAAATTTAAAATTATTGTGAATTACAGTAAAGAGTCGACTATATGAATTCAAAGTCGACTCTTCTAGGCACTAGAGTCGACTATACCATAACAAGAGTCGACTTCCAAATTCCAGAGAGCAGCGAAACAATTTGGTCCCGCTCAGAGTCGACTCTTTACTAAAGAATCGACTCTTAACGATACATATTCGACTCTTAGTTACATAGAGTCGACTCTTCCTACTGCAGGGAAGTAGACACTTCCACTTTCAAAGTCGACTATTCTTTCTTAGAGTCGACTGTTGTTCTTTAAAGAGTCGACTCTCAAAAGTTATAGTCGACTCTTGGGCGTGGGATTTGATTAAAAGCGCGATAGTTCCAGTTTTCCCCATTTTCCCTCTCTCTCCTATTCGACTCTCTAAGAAACCTAACCCTCAAAACAACCAAAAGCCTCCCAAATTTCACAAAAATAACTCACCCAAACACAAACCCACATCATTTTCGGCCCATTCCTCTAAGAATCGTGCATTATCTCCCAAAATGGTGAGGACTAAAAGAGTTGTAAAGAAACCAAGGGGGCAGGCGGCAAGCACTTCTGGAAGGCGTCGAAGGGCTGAGCAAAGTCCTGAGGAGAGCGGTGAAAGCACAGACACCGAGCAGGTATTTCAACCCGATAACCCTCGAAACTTTGTATCTGCAAATGCTATGGATATATATAGAAATTTAGGAAATAGGAATGTCATTTATGGGTTTAGAGTAGTTTTGGAAGATATATGCAAAGAGGGGCTGCATGTAAAAGAAATGTTAGATGCAATGGGATGGACTGAATTAGTAACTAGAAAGGTGAGGGTTTACCAGCAATTGATTAATATTTTTTATGCAAATTTGAGTGACTCGGAGGATGGAGGGTATAAAACAACGGTTCTCAAGAAGACTTTTGAATTTGATGCTGAAACCATAAATGATGTTTTACATTTGCCAAATGAGGGAGCCAGGGAATTGCATGCATTTACAGAGGAATCATCAAAGAAATCTATCATGGGGGATGAGTGGAATGAGGGACAAACATTAAGCATTCACCACTTGAATTTAGAGAATCGGTTAATGTTTTGGATTTACAATCACATAATTTTGCCAAGGCAAGGTTTTTTTGGGAAATTTAGTGGTCCGGATTGTGTGTGGTTTGCATATATTCTTAGCCAAAGGCGGATCAATTTAGGACACCATATTATGAGACACATGGTGTATTATAGGGGTAGATCGACACTCGCACTGGCATATGGCACTCTGATCACGTTACTTATGGAAAATGCGGGTGTTGATTTGCGTGGTATGAAGTCCCGAGACTTATACCGTCACGAGCTTCTTAACGAGAGTTCACTGAACAAAATGGGGTATGTATTCAATGCAAGAACAAATTTGTGGGAAATAAAGCAGAGAAGGAGAAGAGGAGGACAAGATGATGAAGAACATGTCGAAGAAACTGAAGAAGCAGGTCCCTCACAAGCTGCTTCATCTCGAGTTCCTTAGAGATTAAGCACACAGAGAGGAATGCAGCTCATTCTCGAGAGACTTACACGGATTGAATCGAAACTCGATGATCACATTCGCGAGTGTCAGATGGTAGCACCTATAGGTCTTCGAGGGACAAGAGGAGATCCATCTACTGCTGACACATCCTCCGAACAGCAACCACCTGATCCCTTTTCACATCCGGACGCATAAATCCGGATGTTGCAGTTGTTGATGCCTGTTAAATTCTTGTTTTAGTGTATGAACACTGTTTGGAAGGTTTTATTAATGTTCTGACTTTTTATATATTTGAATATGTACATATAATGTTGACAGTAGATGCAGTTTTAATAGAAATGAGCATATCATAATTGTGATGATTTTGTTTGGTTGATTATGTTCTTGATGTGCTTCCTTTGATGGCGAGCAATTTGGTAGTTCATAGTGTGCTTGAATGGCAATGTGTGGTTCTTGTTTTAAAGTTTGATGTGCATGTCGGTTTTAATGGATCATTTGTATTTGCTACAATTTGTGATTGTATATAGAAGGATTTTGAAGTTTATTTGATAGTAATGTATGTCTCATACTTTAGTCAATACAGATTATACCGTTGATGTTGATGGAAAAAAGGCAAATTCTGGAAAACCAGAAAAATGGGTTTAAGAGTCGAATATAGCAATCCATATTCGACTCTCCAGGCTATGAGAGTCGACTATAAAGCATCAAGAGTCGACTCCCAAATTCCAGTGAGCGGGAAATGTATTTGCTACATCTCATAGTCGACTCTTCATATATAGAGTTGACTCTTTCTGCCATTAGAGTCGACTCTATAAGGTGAAGAGTCGAATACCAAATTCCAGTAAGCAGGAATTATATTTGCTACAGATCATAGTCGACTCTCCATTATAGAGTTGACTCTTTTGGCTTTATAGGCGACTCTATGATTTGAAAAATCGACTACAAAATTCCAGTATTTTCTCTGCAGCTCAGAGTCGACTCTTCATTATAGAGTCGACTCTTCTGGCTTTAGAGTGGACTGTATTATGTGAAGAGTTGACTACCAAATTCTAGTAGCATTTTTCCCTTCATATAGTCGACTTTCCATGTTTCTTAGTCCTTTTACAGTCGACTATAGTAAGTAAGATTGGACTCTTAGACAATTGGGGTTGAGAAAGTAAAAGAAATTCATACAAACTTTTAATAGTCAACATGAGAAAAACTTAGAAATCATTAATAAACATTATAATATAAAAATATACAAGATAATCATAAGAAAATAAGAGAACTTGGAAAAAAATTGAAGAACATAAGTAAGACAATGATACTATGGTTCTTCAATGGATCGTAATTTTTGAATGGCAGCATCACAATACTTTTTTTCTATGGTAAGATGGCTACCACTACGAAAAATCTTTGTAATTGTTTCGGAGGACTCAGTAGGGGCATTGGGTGGATGTGATAGAAATGGTGATCGATAACGATTCGAGCAACTTTTTGCAATATGACCGTCACGGTTACACAGTTGACAAG